GCCTGACTGGCTTTGAATTTACTATATAGCTGAAGCTAGCTTTGAATACCTGAGCTTCCTGCCCTGCCTCCTCTCCCCAAGTGCTAGGATTACAGGCCTGCACCATCACATCTGGCTTATAGTTAGTTGCTCTTGCATTAACAGTCTCCCCATAGATCTCAGTATGACCCAGCTCACTTGGTTCTCTGGTCTCTGTTTAAATTAGCCCTACCAGAGAGACCCATCCTGACCGTACTGTATAGTCACAGCCCCTCCCCTTATCTAACTCTTAGGCCCTGTTTTGGTTTTCTCCTTATATAATTTCTGTGCCTACTATATCTATGCTGTTATTAATAAAGTCATTCTTTACAGAAGGATTGGTTAAATGAATTATAATACATTTCTATGTTGGAAATCTGTACATCTGATAAAAGAAATGAGATAACTATATATATGCTAGCACTGAAAAGAATCTCTTTGTTTATAAAAATAACCATGTGATGCTGGGTATGGTGGTACATGCCTTTAATCCCAGCACTCGGGAGGCAAAGGCAGGTGGATCTCTGTGAGTTCAAGGCCAGCTTGGTCTACATAGTAAGTTCCAGGTCACTGGGGCTACAGGGAGACCCTTTCTTGAAAAGACCAAAAAAAATTTTTTTTTTAATTTTTAAAAATTTTATGTCTATGAATATTGCTTACATGTATATAAGTGCACCTGTATCGTGCAGTGTCCATGGAGATCAGAAGAGGATGTCAGACCCCTGGAACTGGAGTTAGGGACAGTTGTCAGCCACCATGTGGGTGCTGGGGATCAAATCAGGGTCCTCTGCAAAAGCAGTCAGTGCTCATAATTGCTGAGCCATCTCTCTAGCCCCCAAAAACAATTTTTATTAATATTAATTAAAACTTGTTTTTTTTTTTTTTTAGTCTTTCTGAGACAAGGTCTCCCTGTAGCCCCAACTGGCTTGGAACTCTATGTAGACCAGGTTGATCTTGATCTCACAGAGATCCTCCTGCCTCTGTCTCCTCTAAGTGCTGGGGTTAAAGGCATGTGCCCCTATACCTGGCTCTAATCAACTTTTTAAAAAAGATTTATTTATTCCCCATTATGAAAAATAAATTTAACATGATCATACTGCTCACCCAGCTGTCTTTTGCATCTTTCAGTTTTCCACTTACTCTTACACTGTGTATATAACATTGATTATATTAGCTATAACTTGGTTTTCTCCGTTGTGTAAATTATTTTAAAACTTGAAAACAGTTAAGGAATATACACAGTATTATGATTGTTTTGTTGTTGGGAATTACAGTGCCAGATGATTTTATTTCACTAGGAAGAAAACAGTTTTGGTCCCTTAGTTCTAATTGAATAAAATACTTATTGTCAAGATCTATTGCATCCTTTTTTATTCGTGTGTGTGTGTGTGTGTGTGTGTGTGTGTGTGCAGGTGTGCGCACTGATGCATACATATGTAAAGGCTAGAGTTGAGATTGAAACTGAAATTCACCATTTAGGCTAGACTGACTGGCCAGTGAGCCTCTGGTATCCACCTGTTTCTATCTCCAACAATGGGGTTATAGACATTTTCTAGTTTTATATGGGTGCTGGCCGTCTTCCCTCAGCCTTTTGTTGTTATCATTTTAAATTTTAATAAAATAGATAATTTCATATTACATAAAGCACCCAGTCTATCCACTCTTTGGTTGATAATTTTTTAGAAATGTGTTCTTTAAAAAAAACTTAGTATTTGAGAATTAATTTATAAAATTTCTACAGATAGAGTTCCTATCTTTACCTCCGTTCTTACTCATTTTTAGAAATTTGAAAAATATGAAAAGTACAAAAAATAAGACAAGATATTCCATATATCACAACTGATATTAGCAAGTATCTTCATTTATTTACTTGGAGACTTTAAGAGAAATTCATGCTTATGTAGAAGAGCATGCTTATTCATGCTCTCTACACACCTCCCATACTCCTCCACTCTTCACAGGCCAGCTCTCAGGAGTTTGGAATGTATCGTTTTGACATATCTCCAAAGCCCTTAGATGTATGTGTGCATCCATTACTGATACAAAGTCCTCAGTTTGATGAAGGAAAATCCAATTCTGTGGCAAGTCATTGTACTGAATGCATCATTCTTCAACTTGAGTCTCATCTCCCACCACCACAATCATTTCTGACATCTTTCTGATCACAATTGTTGAACTTTTACAGATGTATATGTAGGTGGTTTTCCACCGTAAGAATTTTCTTTCCATTTTTCCAGCATGGTGGTGCATGCCTTTAATCCCAGCAGAGGCAGGTGGATCTCTGTGAGTTCAAGGTCAGCCTGGTTTACAAAGCCAGTTCCAGCTGGGGCTACAGGGTGACTGTGCCCCCACCCCCACACACAAATTTTCTGTTGTGTTTCTTGTCAGGCATTTCAGTACTTGGGTATTCTTTCAGTATTTGGGTACTCTAAATCAAGTCATGATAAATTTCCTAGTATCTAGTTCCTAAGCATACATACAAGACCTGCTAAGTATTTTCAAGTTTTGCAGGGAATATTTCCGTACTTCCAAGGCCATAACCATTGTAATATGTAGCATTTTCATGTTTCTAATTTCAATTTTCATCTATTTACTTTTACTCCTGTGTATTTTCATTTGTATATATATATTTTTCTCAGAGAACAGCTGACTTCCGAACATAGTCTTGGTATTCCTTCTCTCCTATGATTTTCCTTTATATTCTAAATTTTGGTAAACACATCAGTCTCTTTCTAAACCTTTTCAGTTCCCTTGAATCAATTGCAGATCCCCTGCATTTTTCTTGAGCCTATACCTTAAGATGGGCTCAGCTGCCCTCAGGTCTTGGTGTCACTGTACTTGTCATTTTCTCAGGCTTCAGATAGATTTCCTTTCCACTTTGTGTGCCATCCACTTTGTCTTCTTGCTTGAGTGGACTATAACATGCAGTTTGGTCGGTTTCTTGATAACCTTCTCTCTAATATAAAAATCACAGGTGGCTGGGGATATAGCTCAATGGCATAGTGCTGGCTTAGCATGCATGAAACTCTGGGGTTGATCCTTAGTACCCTTGGGCAATTCCACTTACAATCTTCCTTACTGCTTTGGTGCCATATGGACCCAAAGGCTGTACTGACCTATGTGCAAAGACCAGAATTCCTCCTTTTGTTCTTTTCTTGAGACAGGGTGTCATGTAGCTTAGGCTGACCTTGACCTTATTATATAGTCAAGGAAGCATTCCTGATCCTCCACTCACCTCCTAAGTGCTGGGATTACAGGGATATACCACTATGCCTAGCTACGCAGCTATTCTTGAAAGTTCACTTTGTTGTTCTCCCCCCATATATATATATATATTTTTTGTCTTTTTGAGACAGGGTCTCCCTGTAGCCCCAGCTGTCCTGGAACCCACTTATGTAGACCAGGCTGGCCTCGAACGCAGGAGATCCGCCTACCTCTGCCTCCCAAGTGCTGGGATTAAAGGCGTTCATCAACATGCCCGGCCTATTTTTTTAATTTTTAAATTTATTTTCATTTTATGTGTATGAGTGTTATGCCTGCAAATATGTAAGTTCACCTGTGTTGTGAGGGTAGAAGAGGCTGTCAGATCCCCTGGAATTGGAGTTATGGACACTTGTTAGCTGCCATGTGGGTGCTGAGAGTCGAACCCATGTCCTCTGCAAGAGCAACCAGTGCTCTTAACTGCTGAGCCATCTCCAGCTTCCTAAATGTTTTTTTAATTAGTAGTTTTTTTAAATTTTATTTAATTTTATTTTATGTGTATTAGTGTTTTGCCTGCATGTATGTAAGTGCACTCATGCATATGATGTCCATGGAGGCCCATTCTAGGGCATAGGATCCCCTTAGAATTGGTTACTTGGCATGTGGGTGCCGGGAACCGATCCCTGGTCCTCTGGAAGAGCATCCAGTGCTTTTAACCACTGAGCTGTCTCTTCAGTCCTCTTTCCTTTAATAATACTAGGAATCCAAATCAGGACATCACACATGCTAGGAAAATTTTAGTTACAAGTTTTAATTTTTAAAAAGTTGTTTGTGTGTGTGTGTGTGTGTGTGTGTGTGTGTATTTATGTATACAGTGTGTTTTTGTGCCCCTGTGTAGGTGCAGGTGCTTGTGCATGTGGAGGCCAGAGGGCAACATTGGGCATCTTCCGCTCTCACTCTTCATCTTATTTTTTGAGACAAGGTTCTCTCACCTCTGAACCTGAAATTGAAATTTTTGCAATTTTCATATAATATAGTTTGATAGTATTTAGATTGCCTCCCATATTCCAACCTTCTCCAACTGCCCCCTGCCCAATTTAATGTACTCTCTTGTACATATGCCATTTATTATTATTTTTGTCCCTAAATATCCTTCACTGTGGGTCCATCCACTGTGCCCACTAAGGGTTTCATCCCTGTAAGACACTGTCTTTCCCCATCTCAGCAGCCATCAGTTGCCAAGCTCTTTAGATTTGGTTGGAATTTCTTACCCACTTTCCCATGTCTATGTTGGGATTTTGTCTGGTTTGAGCTCATATAGGACTTGTGCATGTTGTCACCATTGCTGTGAGTTCCTATGAATAAATGACCAGCTGTCTGGAAGACTATTTCCTTGTAGTCGTTCTCCCCCTTGGGCTCTTAATCTTTCTGCCACTTCTTCTGCAGTGATCCCTGAGCCTTGGGAGGCAGAGGTTTGAATAGGTATCCTATTCGGGGATAAGCACTCTGCAGCCAATTGTGGGTTTCAGTGTTAATCCCTGTCTGCTTCTTTAAGAAACATCTCTGATGAGAGTTGAAAGATGCATTCATCCTGAGTGTAGAGGTTACATTGTCATAATCTCCATCTCTTGCAAAAAGTTTCTTTGATTAGGGGTGAAACATACACTTGTCTGTAAATATGAGGATTCATATTTAGAATAAAGTAAAAAATTACATTGGTTTAGGGATGTGACAAAGGTAGGCTTTTCTCTAGGATCTATGACTTCCCCAGCCATACGTATAAAAATACGGAACACTTGAGGAATTTTCATGTCATTCTTGTACAGGGGCCATGCTAATCTTCTCTGTTATTCCAGTTTAGTATATGTGCTGCCAAAGCAAGCACTAAACATTTAATTTTAAAGTAGGAAGTGGGCCTAATATTAGCTTCATCAGATGATGGAAAATAGCTTTCTCTTTTCTGGATTTTGAGTTTTTGAAAGAGTATTACTTTGTAGTCCAGGCTGGTCTAGAATGTATGACCTCCTGCCTTAGCTTACTAAGTGCTGCCTGACTCAGCTTTCTCTTTGAGTTTTGTTAAAACCAGTGAGTTTATTTATTTATCGTGTCTGTGTGTGTGTGTGTGTGTGTGTGTGTGCATGTGTGCGTGTGTGCGCGCGTGCGCGCATCTATGTCTCTGCCAGACAAAAAGAAACTTTTAATAAAAAAATGTGTGTGTGTGTGTGTGTGTGTGTGTGTGTGTGTGTGTGTGTCTGTACTGGGACTGAACCCAGATCTTTGCAACTTTATAGCTGTAATGACTAGGTTAAGTGGATTGTGTTCTCATTGCCCTGGGGCATTATTTTGCAATCACTGACTTGTTGGGAGAGTAGAGTACTTGTAAAACCTGTACAGTGTGCTTAACTGCTGAACCATCTCTCGAGCCCCCTATTATATGTTCTTGAACTCCTCCCCAACCCTTGTACTGGATCTCACGTAGTTCAGACTGACCTTGAACTAAAGATGGCCTTGAGCTCTTGATCTTCCTGCTTTTTTCTCTATCTCCCATATGTTGGGATTACAAACATGAGCTACCATACCTGACCATAAGTTTTTTCCACCAACTATTTATTATTTAATTCTTTTTCAATATTGGATATTGAACCTAAGGCTTCACAATGTTAGACAAGTGCTCTATCACTGAATATGTTCCCATTCCTCATTTTTTTGCTTTTTATTTTGAGACAATCTCATTGAGTTGTACAGGCTGGCCTTGAACTTGAGTCCAAGAGGGATATAGAGAGATCCTGTCTTAAAACAAAACAAAACAAATAAACAAACCCCCAACAGTCAGGGCTGGGAGATGGCTCAGCAGTTAAGGGTACGTACTGCTCTTGGAGGAGACCTGAGTTTGGTCTCCAGCAACCACTTCAGGTGGCTCACAGCCACCTATAACTCCAGTTCCTGGTGGATACAATGCCTCTTGCTTCCTTGGGCACCTACACTCATATGCACATACCCATACTCTTTCTCTCTGTCTCTGTCTCTCTGTCTCTCTGTCTCTCTCTCTCTCTCTCTCTCTCACACACACACACACACACACACACACAATTTTAAAATAATAAAAATAGCCAGCTATAGTAGCACACACCTTTAATCTCAGTACTCCAGAGGCAGATGCAGACCGATCTCTGTGATATTGAGGCTAGCCTGATTTACATAGCATGTTCCATGCCAGCTGGAGCTACAGGGAGACCCTGTCGCAAAAAAAAAAAAAAAATCCTTAAAAATAAAATAACAGGGCTGGAGAGACGGCTCAGTGATTAAAAGCACTGACTGCTCTTGTGGGTTCGAATCACAGCACCCATGTACTAGTTAAGAACCATTCATAACTCCAGTTCCAAGGTATCTGATGCCCTCTTCTGTCCTCTGTGCATACTGCACTATATGGGTGCACTTACATGTATACTTAACATTCACACACATAAAATAATGTAAAATAAAGCCAGTGCCCAGCACTCATAGCTTGTAACTCCAGCTCCAAGGAATTGACTCTCTCTTGTGGCCTCTGTGACACATACACATACACATGACTATAACAATAATAATAACAAATTAAAAAATAAAATGAAGCTAGTAATACTACCTACCTTACAAGCTACAGCAGTCTTTTAAGTGAAATCATGAGTACGAACTCTTTAACTTGTTTACAGCCTGATTCTAACAGCCTACTCTAGTCTTTGAGAGCAATTACTGTGAATGCACACAGCCCCCAGTTCTAATTTCCTCACTTAATTAGCCCATAACCTTTCATAAGTGTTAGGCTTGATTTCTCTTTTCTTTAATGGAAATAATAATGAACATTTTACAGGAATTTTTAGGGGGTGTATGCATGTTTGTGTATGCACATCTGTGCACATGGTTATGTGTACCCAGATGTTCATGTGCATGTGGAGGCCAGAAATTGACATTGGGTGTTGCTCTTCAATCACTTCTCCACCTTATTTTTTGAGATAGCGTATCTTACTGAACCTGGAGCTCACCAGTTGGCTAGACTGACCAGCAAACTGTTGGGATCCAAACTGTTTCCTGCCCCTTAGTGCTAGGACTACTGTACACCATGCCCAGTGTTCGCGTGGTTGGGGATGGAATCTGTGGTCAGATCCTCAGACTTGCCTACCAGCTGAGTCACTTCCCTAGCCCCTCCCCCCCTTTTTAAAAATAAGGACTACCTGTGATGCTGGCATTGAAGCATTTAGCTTTAAAAAAAAAATTACTCAACAGATGATGGTTATATCATTGTTAATACAGTAGTAAGAACAGTAATAACTGAATATATAGGGACTGGAGAGATGGCTCAGCATTTAAGAGCACTTGCTGCTCTTACAAAGGACCAGCACCTACCAGGCAGCTCACAACCACCTGTAACTCCAGTTCCAGGGGGATCTGACACCCTCTTCTGGCCTCCACGGGCGCTGAATACATGGGATGTACTTACATATATGCAGGCAAAACCACTCATACATAGAAAAATAAATAGTTTTGAAGGAATATGTAGAAATTATTCATCTTATACTTTACATTCTGTAAATTGAGGTTTTGATTTTGTTTTTGTTTTGAAAGTGGTGTTTGACATGGTATCAAAGGCCTTGTGTTTACCAACCACTTGTTCTACCACTGATTTATACTCAAGACCCTCAAATTCACATATCTGGAAACACTGCATTCTCTAATGAGATAGTAGAACTTTATTTTCATTATCTCATAATCCTAAAACTATTATTTCCTAGTGATGTCTGTGATTAGTCATACTGTGTTAGGTCCACCTTGATTTAAAGGACTACCATGCCTGAATTGTTGTTATACGAAATTGTTCTAGTTTAATTTCTGTTGTTGTAATAAAAGACTAACAAAAATCTTGGGGGAGGAAAGAGTTTAATTCATCTTATACTTTACATTCTATCATCAAGGGAAGCCAAGGTAGGGTCTCAAGGCTGGAGTCTGAAGCAGAAAACACAGAGGAACACTGCTTCCTGGCTTATCCCTGGCTTGCTCAGCTACTTTTCTTACACAACCCAGGGCTCACCTGCCCAGGGATGGTGCTGCCCACACTGGGCTAGGCCCTCCTCCATCAGTTAGAATGTCTCACAGACATCCTAACAAGCCAATCTGATAGAGGAAATTCTTTAGTTGAAGTTCCTTCCTCACCTTGTATCTCTAGTTTGGGTTGATAAGATCTAAGCAGCACATAAACCTAAACCCCATAAATTTGAAAATTGCTTAGGACTGGTGATATGGATCAGTGGTAGAGCACAAGCACATGCAGGACCATGGGTGTGATCCTTAGTGCCACCAAAACAACAAAAGATCCATAGATAAAAAAATTAAAGTAGATATGGAGAGGTGGCTCGGTTGGTAAAGCATGTACAAGCATGAGGTCCTAAGTTCAGATCCCCAGTGTCTACATATAAAGCTGCCGTGGCACACCTGTAATATCAGCACTGGGGTGGCAGAGACAGGAGGATTCCCCCAGCTAGTCTTACCAAATCAGTGAGCTTCAGGTTCGGGTGAGAGACCCCATCTCAAAAAGTAAGGTGGAGAGTGATAGAGGAAGATAAGTCAGCATTGACCTCTGGCATCCACATGTACACACATGTATGTACACATGAATCACACACAAAAATAAAAATTAGAGTGGCTTTATATAGTTTTATACACTCTGTGTTCATGGATAATGTTTGTAAATTGGTGTACTTTTGTGAATAGTTCTTCCTAATTCTTTTTAAAAATTTTTATTTATTTATTTATTTATTTATTTATTTATTTATTTATTTATTTGTACGTATTTGTGCCTGTGTTGGTTTATATGTACCATGTGCATGCAGATGCCCAAGGAAGCCAGATGAGGGTGTCAGATCCCCTGGAGCTGGAGTTACAGGTGGTTTTGAGCTGCCCAATATGGGTGCTGAAAATCAAACTCCATTCCTATCCAAGAGCAGCAAGTGCTCTTAAGTGTAGAGTCCTCTCTCCAGCCCCTTCCCAATTCTTTTTGTTTTGACTATATATCTTCTGCATTGGATGCTTCATTCACCTTTTCTGACAAAGGCACATTGAGACATTAATGGAAAAAAGCAAATTATTACAGTAATAATTGAATAATTGCTCACTTCCTATAGTTTACATATAAAATAATTCATAAGCATTTGATCATTTAAAGCCCACTTTCAGAAGCGTGAGCTGAGGTGTCATATGTAGCTCTTAGCTCTCATGTTGGACTTGTTTTATTTTGTTCTTGATTATGACTTTTGACTTGCATCAGGTTTTTTTAATCTAAGGTAATTGTTTCCATTCATATAAATGTTTGTGGAGAATGATGCAAAACCTTCCTGTGATTGGTGATGTACTTTTATTATAGGCTCAACAAAACAGTCCCTCTTCTACGGGTTCTGGCAACACAGAACATTCTTGCAGCTCACAAAAACAGATCTCCATCCAGCACAGACAGACCCAGGTAGGTCAGAGATCAATAAATTACAGTTATGCTCAGGAATAGATCTAACCATACAGAAAATCTGTAATTCCTCCCTTGACCTTCCCTTTATTTATTTGAGCATACCTCATTGTGTAGTATATTCAGAATTTGCATTATGACTACTTCAGGAAGGTGCTTTAGCAGGCTTTTCTTCAACTTTCTAGTGTATTCTATCAGATATGCTTATGTTGCAGCAGGGTGTTGATAAAAGAGCACATATTTTGATGAGGGTTCCTGGGTCTGGGTTCACATTCTGGCTCTGCTGTTTACACTTTATCTTTCTAGGCCCAGTTTTCTTTAGTAGAATGTAAAAATGAGTTTGTTTCCAGTACCTCCAACAGTGCTGACAGAAGGCTTTCAATAAATGTTAATTT